GGCGGTGGCGTTGGAGACGGAGGCGGCGGAATATTCCGTCGGCACGGGCCGGAAACCGGAGCGACGCCGATGGCTGTGCTTCCTAAAGTTCTCGGCTTGCTTCCTGATGGCCTTCCAAAGGCAGAGGGGGGAAGACGAAAACAACTTCAGAGGCAACTCAGGCCAGATAAGACGGAGTTAGTATTTCGTTCGTGGAATGGATCGTTCAAAACTGATAGAGATGTTCAATGAAAGTATTCGTGAAAACCACAGAGGAAGATCAATCTTGTTCTTCAAGTGTGACGTCTGCTGGTGAAACTCTTGGGCCGGGAACCGGAACGGTGCTAACGGCTCTGAGATGTCTTGAGTGGTTTATCTTCTTGCTGCCAAAGACGACGTAATGGACATAAGCCACTTCGTCAGTCTGGAACTCGTGACCGTCGCTTTGAGAGTGTGTGATTTCATTATTTTTTACAAACAACAGAAATTGTCGACATGTATTACTAGGTACGTTATTTACTTACTTAGTTATATATTTACGGTCAAAAAAAGCTAAACACTATATTCACTTTTGGGTGAGACGAACGTCGAAGAGCGGTCTCTCTGGATAGCCTGCCGAGCTCGACTCCCGGCCACGGCGACCTGTCAATGACAACCTGCCGAGGGTTGAATTGAGGGTTGAAAGAAGGTGCACGCAGACACGTACATTTTCTTGTCTGATATGTTAAGATTCGCCATTCTTTAGAGAATGTCCCGTTTAATTTTTGTGATATTTATATAAGAAGTTTTACATTTATACTAAGTGAGCACCAAACGTGTAATCAAACAAAATGATCGTTTATTATTTGCATGATCGTCGTTTTATCCAGAGCGGCCAAAAACAAAGTGTTTTATCCAGTGGCTCCCTCAGAATTTTGATTTGGAAAAGTTTACATTAAACGTCCATATGACTTAACGATTTCTTATTAAGAATTTTTCAGTTGCGCTGAATTTAATAACTTATGTGTTTGTAATATATAATTATGTACAACGAATTCAATTTAGATATTACATTACTTTTGTTTCAACCGAAGATTAGTAAAAACTATATTTGTGAATGTGTCGCCTGCTTTGAGAAGGCAACCATGAGCCTCCTTTGCGAAAGTGCGCCGTTGCGAAAGTTCTCAAAGTCTGCTCAATCTAATGATGAAATACTTATTTACAAGTAAAAATAGACTATCTTCTAAATATTTTACTTCGCGTAACTTATAAACGCTTATTTTTAGGTTATCAATATTGTTCCAAACAATCGAAATTAATTACAAGTTTTGATGAGGTCACGTCTGCCGTCCTTGGAAATAGTCTGCAAATTATTTAAGAAGTGCTGAGAAATGAAATGCATTATTTCTTCTGATACTTTCTAGACGGCCTTACAAAATACGTAGCGTTAAAGGCCTGATGTATGTGTCAGTCGATTAGAAACTATTTCATTTATGAAATGTATTACACAAAAGAATCTTGTGTACTGTTGACAATCTGCACAGGAAAGAGAATGAAGATTCGGAACGGGATCTATATCATATGTTGATTCACATCTCAGGAACTGTCGAGTGGAATACGGTGAAAGAGAAAAAACCCTCACATTAAACTCTGATTGATTAGAAGTTGTTTTAATTGATAGTTAAAACAGTGTTCTAATAAGAAATATATTGCAAGTAAATTGCTGGAGAGGAAGTGCTCTTGCTGGAACTACCACATGTTAGCAGTCCTAACCGATGATAATTACTGATAGTGTCAAAGAGCTAATTGAAATTATAATATAATTCGAAAATAAATTAAACATCAAAATTATTTCAATAATATTCTCCCAATATTATATTTTCTGAACAATTTCATTTTGCAAATGTATTACGTTGTTATAATTTCTCCTCATCAAAGAACTAATGAGTTTGCGTCCGTTTAAACATTTTATTTAACCACTAACTGTGGCAGCCCCGGTGCACCGGTCGAGGCCGGTCAAGAGCGAAGGAGTGCCATGGAGTGCGGCGGAGAGAATGAAGATCAGAGAACAGCGGAAAGCGATGAAGGGCAGTAGAGAGCAGTGGTGGATAGTAGACAGCGGGGGAGAGCGATGGGAGGCACTGAAGGGCAACGGAGAACGGCGTTTGAGTGCGGTGAAGGACGATGGAAGACGGCAGTGGGGAGGGAACGGACGGAGGGGCAAGGGCTGGGCACGTCGGTGGCGAAGGAGGGGAAAGGGACCGGCAGAGGGCGGTTCGAAACGGAGGCGAGCGACGAGGGGGTTGCGCGGCACAGCGGGATGCAGCGGGGCGAGCAACCCTAGCAAGTGAAGCGCGCGACGCGGGCACAATTACGTCGAGAAATTGCTCGTGCGGCGGCGGCGGCGGCGGCGGCTGTGGGGGAGTCACCGTGGAGAAGGAAGAGGAGAAGGTTCGCGGCGTGGCAGGCGGTGGCGGGGAGAGGCAGGGAGGTGGTGGCAACGCGAGCGGGCGCGGGCGCCGGCGTGGATGCCGGGAAGAAACGCGCGGGTTGGAACCGACAGCGATGGAGGCGGAAGCAGCGGCCGAGGACCTCGAGAACGGATGGGGTGCTAGGCGGAGGGGCACAGGTGACAGCGGATTGCAGCCGTGGAGGTCATGGACGATTTCAAGCAGTAGACGATGGAAGTTGGTGACTTTGGTTGTTGAAAAATTGCGTGTGTCTAAAAGAAAGCGAATGTAACGGCGGGGAGGGGTTAACGGTGTTCCGAGGAGTACATTTGAGTGTTCTGATGCAAAAGTATACATTCATCATAATACCGTATTTGTTTGGAAATGGAGAAACAATTTTTTTCTATTTTCTCTGTATATTTTTTTCAGTGTTGCGATGTTGAATTCACGCTGAATTTACTATATTGATATAACCTAAAAAAACACATTCACGACGCTGTCTTTAGATCGCGATCACAAATAAATGAATATAGCAAAATATTAAGATAAACGATAGTTTTGGAGTTTTCCACCACTAACCACATTTAAGTGCATTTTAAAGGAGATTATTCGTGGTGTAGCACTTACTGTGATCAGTCTGCAGTACGGAATGTCTTGTTTGCGATCTGTACAAGACTTACTCAGAAAAGAATTACGAATCGTAATAGTAAAGACGAGATAATGCACGTTTTTCCAAATCCTATCGACTTAACGAAGTTATCGACTTCTTTTTTGATGAGTATTGCAAGGAAAATGCTGACACCTGAAAGGGTGATAATCCTAAATGTGAATTCAATGCCGTCGCAATTGACAGTGGCAGTGGTCACTATCACGATACCCGTGCAGCAGGTTTCTTGACGAGTAATGATGGTTAGAGCACTTTCTTCAGTGCTGAGGTAATTAAAAGGAATTCAAGAATATCAGTCTCTCCAACTGATCACCGATTTTCTGCTTCTTGAAGCTGCTCTCTCCATTCACTTGTAACAATGGGCGTATTTTTACATCTTCTGTTGCTCTTCTGTACCATAATCTCATCATATATTTGGTGCGTCTGCATTCCTTTTTTCAGGAACGCATCTTTCAATGACTTTCTTTATAGTCTATCTTTCCATCTCAGAATATGTCTTATCCAGTTCATCTTCTCATATATTAAGAGTATTATGATAATTACGGGTAATGAACTAGCTATGACTATTTAATTTTACAGAATAACGAATGAATATTGATTACGTTTCGGATATGAGAACTCGTCCTTGAACATACTTCATTTCAAGATAACATGAAGGTACGAATCTACTTGAAACGCCATAATCGAGTACGAAGTTGAATGATATTTAATGATGGGCCTTAAGAAAAAAATCTTTATGTGAAATCAACAAAGCTCAAAATCCAATGTAATGCTTAAACATAATAATTAGCTTCTGAAAAGAGATAGTCGCCATCATAAATCGCATAAATCAGAATGATAAATTAAGACATACATTTAAAAATAAAATTTAATTCATATTCGACAAACATTTTACAGACCTGTCTAATGTGGTATACATTAGGGGCATATTTGTCTACTTTTTTAGAATCTTTATTTAAAACGTGCATTTTTAGACGCGTGCCTTCATGTAGGATAGCGATACTGCATTGTTGTATTTTACAAATTGTGCTATTGTATCCAGTTGTAAACTCATGCCAAGAAACTTTCAAGTTTTACTAACGGTTTTTAGAACTGAATTACCATTAATCATCCCAGGTTCTTTTCAGCATTTATGCTTGCTCAAGACTAGTGAGATGAGTTGAAATTATTTTCTCTATTTACAGGTTTGGAAGTTGCCTTAAGTTAGAAATCAGAATTAAAACAACAATTCTGGGTGTATCTTCTAAAAAATAATTGTTAGTGTGGAACAAGATGTGTTTTAAATGTAAAAATTCGATCTTCATATAAAAAAGATTTGTTTCTCATACTTCCTTATCAATTTTTAGTATATTATTTATTAAATTGTATTAATGTAGTAGAATACTAATATTTAGGATTTTATCGGTAGCAGATGTTTATTATTTCCAATACAGACTTACGGCAATATTCATATCTTAAGATAATTTTTCAAAATATTTTAATACGGCTTAAAATTGTGTCATTGTTTAAGAAATCGAAACAACTGGAATAATAATGTTTCATTTGTATCTATGTTAAAAATAAAACCATTAAATTTTTTTATATTACGTTTTTAGAACATTTGTATTTTATCTTAAGAAACAATATTACATATATTTATAGATAAAATATTACACACTGTAACATTATTTATTAACCACGCTTTAGAGTAAGGAAGACTTGTGGAAGCATGAAGTATTCTCATCACTGTATCATCTAGTACACGTGTCATTTAGTAAAAAAAAATAATAACCAATGATGTTGCAAAGCATGTTGCCGAGTCTTGTTAAAACAAAGCAAAATTTTTCGTTCAGATGTTCCATTTCTGTTCTTTCGTAAAAAAACATTATGTGCATATTTTATTTATGGCAGACGCAAAAACGGCACAATTAAGGAAATTATTTATGAAAAGTGGATTCTTATTTCAATAATAAAAAAATAATTTGATTTAAATCACACAACCAATAAGTGATTTGAATAACTTGATTTAAATTATTTTACCTTACCCTTCAAGAAATGTCAGGTAACGAGAATCTGAGGTGAACTTAATACAAAAATTCAAAATATAATTTAAAAAAAAGTAAAACGTCAAGTTCAAGTAATTGAGACGCTCAGAATAATAACGGCATATCCCAACCGAAGTTCGTTTTAAAAATAATTATTTTTATGTTTCGTTCGGGTTCACTTGCAGTCCGGACAAATATTTGTAGGTGGAATTTGATGTTTTCGCTCTATCCCAATTCATTTGATACTTCAACATATAATATGGCAGGAGTGTACCGTCATACTTCTAACTGAAAATGCGATGTCGGCTGGGGTTTGCCGTTATTATTCTGAGCGCCTCAACTGATAGGGAATGTGGACGTTTTCGCCAGCTGGACGCAAGGTAGCGTTCTGAGCCGAGCGGTATGCTCACACTTGAAGAGCTCCTTGAGGGGGTGGAGGAGGCGGGGGATTCGTCCGCGGAAATGAAGACGCTGCCGGAGGCGGAGGCGGCTGCAGCCTTCAGGCGCAGTCGTGCGCCCGGTGCGCTCGGCCGACCATTAATAACCGCAGATGGAAGCGCACAAAGGGACGCGCGCTGCCGTGTCACGGTGACACTCGCGCAGTCGTCTCCGCCGCCGTCTCCACTCGCCGCCCCGCCCCCTCGGCACCCATTGCCACGCTCTCCCCAACCCTCGCCCCAAGGCTTGGCCCGAGCCTTCGTACATATTCACCCCCTCGTCTCTCACACCGGCGTAGCTGGCGCAGGGCATCAACTGATATCACTGCCGTGCCTCTGAAAGGAAGGACGAGTTCCAGTCCCGATTACGGGAGGATTTTCGACACTAGCTAGATAGGTAAGCAATTCAGCCGCTGTATGGAGGTCAGTTTTAGCGGCCGGATGGTCTGATTGGTACATTGGTAATTTCTCCGCTTAACACCAGGCAGACGCCTGGTTTGTTCCCTAACTGACGGGCCATAGTCCATGGACAATCGCTCCTGCCTCTTTCTTTTCCTAAATTCACCCCTTAGTTACACACACACATCACATACCGGGAGACCTGTCAGGAGCTTGAAGTTTGAGCCGGCTGGGGCGGTGACCCACTGATGGGTGATACCTGGAAGGGAATACCCCGTAAGCCGTCCTTCAGGTCAGCGCTGAATCACCCCAGACAGCGGAGGAAGAACCACCTAACATGATAAAAGCCTGTACTACACTTATGGGGATAATAACCATAGCAGTTGATGCACCGGCAAATACGAAAAAATCAATCAACTACTGATTTCTGATGCTGCAGCTCGCAGGCCCTTCCGCCGCACGCTTGACCTTACACCCGCTCACACTACATTACAGGGAAGGGGAAGAAATTAAAGACGAGATTTGATGTGCTTACACCGTGCTATCCCGTGCCTTACGTGGGTTTCGAATTTACAACCCGAGCGCAACGTGTATTTGGGCGAAAGTGTCCAACCTCCTTTGCTACCAAGACCATCGAGGAATAGAAGAGAATCGATAGGTGATCCATAATGGTTAGGAGAGCCAATCATACATTATATATCAACACACAAAGCAAACATCTATACTCGTGGCTCGATTCGAATCCGGGATCTTCGAACAGAGATTGGTAATACATGCCTTCCTTAGATATCTCGGCTGCCATTTTCAGATCGGTGGCTTCTGTGCTGAGGATCATGACCAGGTGGTATTCATATCCATTTACCCGTCACATGCTCGTCTTTGCTGTCGTTATACTTGTGCCTGACTTCGACTGCCCCACTTCCATGACTCTACCTTCTCCATACAACATTTTGTTCTCATCGTTGCTATCTTCTTCGCCCCCGACATTCCTCACTGTTATGTGGTCCGCTCTTGGGTCGTCTCTCTTTTCGTCACCTTCCATCCTCCAAACTATTCCCCAATGTCTTACCTAAGTTATTTCAGCCGCCGTATCCCCTGCGCACTGGGTCTCTTATCCATCATATCTTCTAATGCGGTATTCATTTGTTTTCCTCTGCTACCTCTCCGCTTCAGACCAAGCACAAGTTCCTTCTACATGTCCCAATGTCTATTCTACCGTGTGTTCGCCAACAATAAACAATTGACTTACAGCTATGGGTTGCATTATAGAGTATTTCAAGTTCTTTGTAGAGCATTATCTGCCACCTGATATATTATTAATTAGCATTATGTGCTTCTATTACAACTTTCCAAGGTATCTATCACTCGTGCTCATTGTTCTCCTATTCTTCACAATTAGCTTGTTCCTCTCAGTCGACACTTCAACAGTACTACTCGTTCATTTCCCAGAAATCTAGTAGCTTCCGTCCCTTCATGTCACGTCACATCACGTCACGTCACGTCACGTCACGTCACATCACGTCACGTCACGTCACGTCACGTCACGTCACGTCACATCCCGTCACGTCACATCCCGTCACATCACGTCACATCACGTCGCATCACGTCACATCACGTCACGTCACGTCACATCACGTCACATCACGTCACATCGCGTCGCGTCGCGTCGCGTCACGTCCAATCACATCTCCTGACCAGCTGGCTTTGTCACAGCAGCCATGTCTTCCGTTGCCTCGTGCCATCTCTGCCGCGAATCCTCTCCACCTGCTCCCCCGGCGCCGCCCCGCGTGGAAGTCGTGCGGAGGCACGAGGCGAGGGAATAATTCACGCGCCCGGGTGCCGGGGGGAGGTTAGGGAGAGTCATTTGTCGCCGTCGCCCACCGCGGGCGGCCAGCGCCCCGCCGCACACTGGGCCCAAACGCAACGAACGGAACGACAGCAAATGGTAATGACACACGTTTTGATTTTATTTATTTTGTCAAAGAATAGTAAAAACTGTATGTGATATATGGGGGAGATGTACCATCTGCGTACATTTTCTTGAGGTCCAGTTTCCTTCCCCACCCTTTAACCACAAATAGTCGAATGATGAATGAAAGTACCAACAAAGCAATGTTAGCGACATTTGAAAAGATGAAATTTTCGATCCCGAGTTATAAAATCTAGTTTGCACCGATAAACGAACTACAGAGTTGATTTTTTTAGTATCGTAAAATAATAACCCCCACTATTGATTCTACTCCTAACACAATTAGCAAATAGAAAGCTTAACACTTCACGTTGTGCGCATAGTTATGTCCTGATAAAAAATCCAGGGGTGACCTCAGAATTTGCTCAATGAACCAGAGGAAACTGAACGAAACCGTGATCGTGATGGAGATAAATACTAACTAAAATCAAGATTTTTGCATCGTTCAAGTACTATAATATGAGAACAATCTTGCGTATAATAACAAATCGTGCAAGATTAACGCTAAAAATCGAAAGATTATATTTGTTCCCATTATATGTTTCCTCAACTAGAGCATAGTGCGCATACAAATATATTATAAGTTTGACTTTCCTTAAAACCTGTGAACTTTCGAAAATTGGAAATTTGAATCTGGCGCGGTTTTTATGGTGAAGATCTTTCTTCATCAGATGCCTGAAGAATCAGGAGCACACAATTTACTAAATTATATAAAAGTATGTGCTTATGTATCCCCGCAAGTTTTAAATTTGCATGGTATGAAATAAATTATAAAGTTAAGTATTAAATCACATTAAAGGCGTATTTGCAAGGAAATACAATTTATATTTTTGTCATGCTATTAGGAAATACCTTGTGATAGATCATGATCACTTGTCATTGGGAGATATTTACTTTAATCATCAAAGTTGTGGCTCTTCCAGAAATCGTAGGCCCACTACTCTGATTAATGGCATCTTTAAATTCCGTGGTCTCTACTAGATAAATGCCGAAGCATTATCCTGCACAATGGGCATCTCACCACGCACGGTCTTACTTTGCATGCGTATGAAATGCTCGTGGCTGATATTTGGTACGTTTGTACAAGGCGACTGATATGACGCCACACTTGTATTAGCTGGACCATGGACGACGAATCCACGGACTCTATGGCTATCCCTCGTCAATTTATAAAAATGATAGAGAGATCAGACGTTCTCGACCTTTTCTGGACCACTGCTCTCTATAGAAACAAAAAAGTCAATACATTCTGGTTCATAACAGTTACTTTTTTATGAAATATCTAAGTATTGTTGTGTATTATTTGTACCTAATTTATCTCTTTATCTATTAAAATTATAAAGAATAAATCAATTAAACGACAACGAAATGTACAATAGAATTATTTATTAAAATTTTAAATCAAAACAGTAAACAGAGATACATAAAATTTATAATAAATAACAAACTATTGAGACGGTTGTCGCAGGTGGAGTTTTTACAATTTGTCAGAGTCGGGTTCCAAACTTCGTAA